TTAATATTAATAAAAATATTAATATAATTAATATAGATAAAATAACTTAATGATATTAATTTAATTATTATTAAGATATTATAATAATATAATAATAATTATATTAAAGTTTTATAAATTTCAAATTATAATATATAATAATTATAATTTAACTTTATTAGAAAACTATCATATAAATTTTATATATATATTCTTTACAAAAACTTTATTTTCTTATTATGCAATAACTGCATAGTATTTATTAGACTATAATTAAGCTACTACTAAATAAGATAGTAATTATATATTTACTATATAATCACTTTATAGTTATTGTATTATTACAATAGTTTCATAGCTTTAATTAAATCTCAAATGGTAAATAAAACCAAAACAATTATTTGAGAAATCACAGGTAAGGATTTACAATAATATTAAAGATTATTTTTAATATAAAAATACGTAAATAAATATAAGATAAATACAAAAATATTTCAGAAATTATATTTTAGAAACTTTAAGTTAATATATCGAATTAATACAATATTATATAATAAATTTATTAATAATAATTAAAGAGATTATACAAATACAAAAAGATTACAAATAAATTATAATAGTTTTAAATAATTGCAAAGAATAAGTTTTATATTAAGTTAATTTACTTCTTTATTAATATAATATATAGGTTTAGTACTTAAAAGATTAATATCTTATCGGTTATCTTTTTCAGGAAGGTAATGAAACTTAATAAAATTACAAAGATATTTATATATATTGAATAATTAATAAAATAAACTAAATTAAAAATATTTAATAGAAATAAAGTTAACAAATTTGCAAGAAATAAAGTTGCTATATCAATAAAATTGTCAGATCTGCAGATAACTAAATAGACAAAGGTAATAAAATTGATATCAAAAGATTTACATAATGATTAATGGTAATAAAATAGACAAAGTGATCTTTTAAAGATCTATATAACAATAAAATTAACTTTTTAATCTACTAATTAAATCTATCTAAATTTTAACTATTATAATATATTAAGAAAACTAAATTTTTGTAAAGTAATATACAGTCTCTGCTAAAAGTCTTTGAATACTTTTTAGCTCAATGTAAAACTTAAAATTTTAAAGTTTATTAAAAAAATTTATTAATTTATTTATTAATGTACAATATGCTACACATTTGGTACTAAATAATTAGTACTTGATTAGACCTTTATTTGCTTTATTACAGCCTAAATTCATTGTGACAAATTGCTTTAGCTGACTTTACTGTAAATCTTTAATTAAGAATAGTTGATTAGAATGAAGCTTCGAATTTACAGTAATACTATATGAAATTAATCTTACTGCATCACAAAGATTAACAAATGATTAACATTATTAATATCATTAGCATTTTTAACTTAGTTAACATTTTTATTTTATTTATTTTATTTATATATGTTATTATCATTATCTCTTATATTATTATTATTAAATTATAATTTATCTTTTATATTTATCTTATTATTATAAAATAGTATAACGTTAGATAGTAAATTCTTATAATTGTATTTTATATATAAATAGGATAGAAACTTATCCTTGCAAAAGGTAAAGATAACAGTGTAAACTCAATAGTTTGAGTTTAAAACTTAGAATCTAAGGTTAAAGATGCTAAGGATACAAATCTCTACAATAAAGGAATCTTTTTCTAAACTACACATATTCAAAAATCTTTTAACGTATCAATTGTATTTATTGTGTCTACAAGTTATTAAAATTATTCTTACTCGTCTAAAGTATAAACTTAAGGTTAATTATAATAAGACTTATTTCACAGTAACTTAGTAGTTTTTCACATGTTACTCCTTATTATTAAGTCATAGTTACTTTAAGTTTGATGGGCTGAGCATAGGATTAATAACAGTTTTAATATCATTCATTCTTTTTAAAGTTCTAAATGCTATTAAAATCAATAACTAATATTTGTGACAATAGCCTGATAACTATTACTACATTGACGATAAAATACATACTATTACATTATTCTTTGAATATTTTCATAGTTTTCAGAAGGTAAATTTTATTTTAGTTAAAAATCAAAAAAATAAACTAAACATATTTTTATTTGATTTTGATTTAAGCAAATAAGGTTAGGTATATTACATGACTATAGTATTATACAATTATATAATATATTCAGTATGAAATAGTCAAAAGATGACGTTCAGAGACTTTTAACAGAAGTCTGTAAATAAATATCATATTTAATTATATTATTAAATATTAATAATATAAGTTTTTAATAAATTATAATTAATTATTATTTATTTTTTTTAATATAGAAATTAATTTAGATTTTAGATTTAATAAAAATAATTTTACAGAAACTTAATTCTTAGTAACTGTAAAGTGTCTATATAATAAATATATAATTACTACTTTACTTAATAGTAGTTTAATTGTAGTCTAATAGATACTATGCAGTTATTGTATAGTAAGAAAATAATGTTTCTATAAAAAAATAGTATCTTAAAATTTGAAAATTAAAATTAATATAATTAATTATAATTTATTTATGTGTATAGTAACAGAAATTATTTAACTTTTAAATTATATTACTAAAAAAGTAATAAATTAATATAATTTTTATATATTTATTTATTTTTGATATTTTTCTCTATTTAAGTTTATAAAAAATTTGTTATTTAAATATCACATTATGTAATATAATTTGTAATTTAAATTTGAGTATTATATTTAATAAGATTAGTCATTATAGATTAATTTTAAACATGAATATATGGTTAAAGAAATTTAACATTAAGATAAGAGTAACATTATATTGTTTTAATAAAAATTTATATATACTAGGAATTGAGGTTTTTAAAATAAGAATAGCATGTATAATAAATATTTTTCATATTTTACTTTCTTTATATTATATATATATACTTTAAATTCTTTTATTTTCTCCTTTATGATATTATTATTTTTGCTATTTTAACTTCATAATCTTTTATTTTAAAATGTTATAACTTTTGTTAACTTTGTTATTTTTATTATTTTAAGTTTTTTATTTATTATTTTATTTTCTTTTAATTAGTTAGCATTTATTGATTTATTGATTAATATTTAATTGAATAAATAAATTGAATTGCAAAAATATATAATGTTAACTTTGAGAAAATATTGATTAATTAATTTTTTAAACAATATTTAAATTATATTACTTAATTACTTATTTATAAAATACTCCTGCTTACATTTAAAATTATTTATAAATATATAAATAAAAGAAATGAATACAATTATAGCAATAGATCAATATAATAATAATATAATTACATTTCATATTTAGCATATAAAAGTGTATAATTTATTTTATTAATTTGATATCATATTTTAAGTATAATAATAATTATAAGTAAATAAAGGAAACTGAAAATTTCATCTAATTTTTTATGAAATACTAAATTGTTAAATCAATAATAAAATTTTAATACCTGTATTTATTAAAAGATGAAAAGGCTAAATAAATACAGTTAACTTCCTATATAAAAAGTTTTCTAGTTCTGAGAATTTTTTTTAACTAAAATTAAGACTTTATTATATTTTAATCTAATAATACCTAAAACTAAAAATTAAAAAATTTTCAGAACTTAATTTTTCTAACAACTTTTCTATATAATTACCTCCTAAATAGTCACTTCTTATATTTAGATTACTAAAAATAATCCTCTTTTATAGTTTTTTTTTGAGGAATTATCAATATTAATATATCTAAATGTAATTAATTAATATAAATAAGGAAGGTTTATATAATAAAAAGTAGCAAAATAAATATTAATAAAAAAAAGATCACTTTGTAAAATAGATAATAAGAAAGAGAAAATTCTACAAAATTTGCAGAATATTAGAACAAAAATTTTTAAAAGAGTTACATTCTTTTGTTGTAAAAAAATATAAGTATTAGTGCAACCTTTAAAAAGTTTAAGTTTTACAGTAAAATTCAAAACATAGTGAATACCTAATAAAAAATTAGCTAAGAATTAATCAGATCGTCAGGTTATTAGAATTTTGAAAATATATGATATTACTATTTAAATTTACTAAATAATATGTTATTTCATCAATTTTTAATGCATTATATAAATATATCATTTTTATTAGATATTTTAATTTTAATTTTATGTACATAAATTTTTATTAAAATTTCATTTAAATGCTTATTCTATTTGTCTTACTTGCTTGATTGTAATAAGGAATATAGTAAAAAATATGCTTGTCAAATAAGAGAAATAGAATAAAAGAGAAAAAAGGTTAAATATGATTATATAGTTAATTTTTGTCATAAACTCCTTATACAAACAGATACTACAAACTAAAAAATTACATTAGATAAAGGATTTATTAACTAGTTTTTTACCAATATTTCTTCAAATATTAAAATTTTATCATCTTCTAATGATGTAAATATTTATCAAGGTTATATGAATAAATTTTGTGACATAAATAAAGGTATCATTTTACATATATTTATTACTATAATTATAATTTATATATTTAAATATATTCACTATGCTGAAAACATGCATTAGCCAAATTTTTGTTGATAGTCATATATGCAAAATCTAAATCCTGCATAGGATCTTGCATGAATTTAATCCAAATTCAATTTTGACACAGTAAATTTTTTATGTAAAAAAATGGTTGCTTGATCTATTTGTAAAAACATTTTAATATATTTTAACATAAAATTAAAAATTAAAGTTTCTACATACTAGATTAAAATCTAATGAATATAGTAGCAAAAATTTAACATGCATTTCTTTTGCATTATAAAGATCAATTAATTCATAATATATTTAAAAATGAGTGATTGACAATCAATTTTAATATAAAATTTGTGAGTTATAATTTTATATAATTTAGTTTTATTTTCAAATTTCAGCGTTCTAATGACAAAAATAAATTTATTTACTATAAAACTACTTACTAAAGGTTTAATAGTAAATAAATATCATTATGAAATATTTGCATAATATTGGTGGACATCTTGGCAAAAAATTATTATTCTTATTCATTTTGATATGCATGTAAGAATAGAGTTAAATATACAACTTTTCATATACTAAGTTATTGAAAATATTCTAAAAAAATTTTTATCAAGTTATAGTTATAAAGTAGTAGGAGTATCTTCAATACAGTCGACACCTTCAGCTGTAATTAATGAAGTGTATAAAAATATTTTTGGAACTGTAACAGAATATAATAGGCAAGCTATTATAGGTTTGATAATAAACAAATAGTTGAAGAGCTATTAAAAGATATTGAGTTTTATCTATTTATAATAAATATACAAGGTATTTTACTTTTTGTTATAGGGTTAAATTTAAATATGATTGAAATAAAATATATGTTAACATTTCTTAATAAATTTCGTGATTAGTATTATTTATTTGTCCAAAAAATAAAAAAAATTATTCTGTATAGAAGTTTATAAAGACATAACAATTCTTGCTTATTATGAAAGGAATTTAATAGAAATCTATTAGAATTTTAAGAAAATATGAAAGCACACTATTTGGTTTAGATTATTTGCAAATTAAAAAATATCTCAAAAGAAAAATTGCAATTGCTAGTATTGAATGAAGAAAAATATTTATAAAATAGTTAGTGCAGAAAAGTACTATTGTAGATTTTTTAATATTTTACAAATAATTTATTCTGAAGATTATATATTTACTGAGTAAGAAATGCAAGCTTAGAGATATTTATTTAAAGTTACAGGATGTACAGAAATAATGCCTAATTTTATCAAAGATCAGGCATGTAAAAAAAGAATTATTTTAATATTTATTTACTTTTCTATAATTTAAATTATGATATTAGTATTTAATTTTAGTTTTCTAAAGTACGAATGCAATTTTAGACAAAAAATATTGATCTAACTGCTAATAAAGAAATATTGGAGAATTATATGAGATAGGTTTATTATATTGATCATCAAAAAATTATGATAATAATTTAGAAAACAAGTTTTGGTCATGCTTTTCAATATTACTTAATGCTAATCCAAAAAAAATAAATAAAAAACAAAGAATTTTATCTATAATAGCTGAGAAATTTAGCTATAATGAACTCAATGATAAGCTAAATATAAGTAAATAGCCTTAATAACTTTATTATCAATTATTTATTATAAAATTAATAATATGATTTGTTTATTATTAAATATCGCTAAATCTAATTAATTCTACATGAAAATTTGCTAGGATTAATAGATCAGATTGCTTATTTATAATTAGACCAATAATAATGCAAACTAAAATGAGTATAGTAAAAAATCAACAATTTGAAAATTTTTTTGCTAATAGGAAAAATGTCACTATGAGCTCATATAAAGTTGATTCAAAAACAATTTACCTATATTATATCTTAAAGATCAAAAAGAAGTATTATGGTAAAAATTTTTCAAAACTTATTCTGATAACATGAAGAAGACATCATTTATGATATATTTTGCTAATAGTCTATTTAGATATCGTGAGGATTTAAGAGGCTTATATATTATACAGTAACTCACAAAAGAAATGTAAATTTTATGATTACTTTTAAAAGCTTATAACAGGTTAATTATGAGAGCTAAAATTATAATTTTATATTTATTTTAAAGCCTAAATCTTGAAGTATAATCTGATATAAATTTAATATTCAGTTAATAATACTAAATTTATATTATTTAATAATTTATATTAAAATTTCTTACTTAATAAACTTTAAGCATAAAAAATTTTTTTAGTAGATTTGCTACTATAAAACTGATACTGGATTCGAATTTTTCGCAGTGTGAAGATTTCAACAAGCTAAATTTTGTCTCAATCAGGCCTATAAATTAAAAGAAAATTGCTGATAAAAAATCGTCTAGTACTATATAAAATTTTTTAATCTAATTTTTTATATAGTGCAGGATGATCTTTAATTGGCAATTTTCTTGTGAAATACAGGCCTAATTGAGACAAAATTTAGCTTATTAAAATTGTCATACTGCGAAGAATTCGAAACCAGTATTAGTTTTATAGCAGTAAGTCTACAAAGAAAATTTCTATATTCAAAGTTTATTAAATAAGAAATTTTGATATAAATCATTAAATTGCACAATTTAGTATTATTAACTGAATATTAAATTATATCAGGCTATTTTTAGACCTTAGCTAAGGCATAAATCTAGATTATTTTCATAAGAATTTATATATAACTAAATATGTGAGCGTTTAGACTAATAAACGTTAGATATTAATTAATTGATTCGTTGATTGATGTTAATCATATTTAAATACTGGATTTAAAAAATATGTGAATACAAATAAAGCTAGGTATTAACAGAAACTTGGCCTTTGCTAACAGGTCTGTAATAGATACTGTCTCACGTCTTCAAATTTAAGGACCTTTATTCAGTAAGAAAGTGGTTAATCAGTAATTAGTAGATTTGAGTTCACTATAAGGGAACATAATGCCTAAGATAATAATAGACTGCATTGTATACTACAGTACCTTTCAAATCAAATTATCATTAGAGTTAAAGGCTGGGTTCAATTTCCAGGTGAATTTGATGCTATGGATACAAAATTACCATCTATGTAAAGAACCTAATTCTACAGTTTCAGTAATTATCAATAGGTAAAATACTATAAATTAGATTGGTAAAAATAGGGCCTGATAAGCTTTATAGTTGAAATGAGCTCTCTATCTAAAGGTGATAGTACCTAATAAGGTCTAGTGAGCCTTGTAATACAGAAATAAACTGTTGCAAGATGGTCTATACTACAGATCCTCACTAAAAGTCTCTAAACACTTTTTGGTTCAATATAAAACTTAAAATTTTAAAGTTTATTAAAAAAATTTATTAATTTATTTATTAATGTATGATATGCTACACATTTAATACTAAATAATTAGTACTTAGTCAGGCCTTTATTTGCTTCATCACAGCCTAAATTCACTGTAATAAATCACTTCAACTGGCTTTACTGCGAATCTTAATTAAAGATAGTTGACCAGAATGAAGCCTCGAATTAACAGTTTCAGTATCATCCATTCTTTTTAAGTTCTAAATACTATTAAAAATCCACAACTGATATTTGCAGTAATAGTCCAGTAACTATCGCTACGTTGATGGTAAAATATATACTGCTGTATTGTTCTTTGAACATTTTCATGATTTTTAGAAGGTAAATTTTATTTTGGTTAAAAATTAAAATAACAAACCAAACATGCTTTTATTTGGTTTTGATTCAAGCAAACAAGGTCAAGTACATTATATAACTGCAGTATTATACAGTCATATAATGTATTCAGTATGAAATAGCTAAAAGATGATGTTTAGAGACTTTTAGTGAGGGTTTGTAGGTGAAAACTATATGAGGATATGCTTCTATATAGTTACCATACTATTTAATAAGAATCAGAGACTTAAAGAGGTTACTTAATATAGGATAATACTTGTTCTAATTAGGATATACCCTCTATTGACTTTCTAGCTACCACATATTAATAGTGAAAAAAAATTATATCAGGTTATTTTTTAAGATTTGGGCTTTAAAATAAATATAAAATTATGATTTTAGCCCTTATAGTTAATCTGTTATAAGTTTTAAAGATAACTAATAGTATTTGCATTTCTTTTGTAAACCACTGTATGTAGTGAATATAGCTATTAAATATTTGAGAATTTATACATGTTTGTTAATATACATATTTCAAATAAAACTGTGCAGGTAAATTATTTATAAAAAAATATAAATTTTATTTTTATTTTTATTTTATTAATATATTTATATTTTATCTATAAGAATTATTTGATTCAAAAAATTGAAAAGATTCAGCAATATATCAAATGAAATTATAAAAAGAATTTTATATAAATGAATTTAGAATCACTTTTTATGATGAATATATCAATCACTACCTATTATATACTTTGGTAATTATAAATTAGAATATTCTAAACAATATTCACAATATTTTTAACTTTTTGACTTATTGATGAACTTAAAGTACAGCTTGGAATTAAATTATCTGAATAATTAGAATAATATAAAGATCAGCTACTTTACTATTTTGCTTATTAAACATATAAAGTTTACTTAAATGCTTAATTTAAAGCTTCTTTATTAGAATTAAATGATGATAGCTCATTAATAGTTGCTGATTATAAAATGAGAGTATTAAAAAAAGTGCACGAGAAACAAAAGAAGAATTTTTTGGAAAATCTGAATAGACTTTATATATGATCTTAGTATTTCAAAATAGTAATAATGGTAATCTTGATATTTAAGCGTATTATTATTGGTCGAAGATAAAACTCAAGATGCATGGTTTACTATTAATTATTTTGATGCTGTATTTACAACAATGAAACAGAAACTAACATGGGTAAAAATTATATCAGATAATGGAGCTTACTATCATAATTCACAATTGATGATACTTATAGTGCACTAGTATAATTGGTATAATATTAATGTAAAAAGCTGAATATTTTAGAATTAAAAGAAGTAAAAACAACAGTTGATTTCCATCATGCTTCAGTATATCAAATAATAGTTTATTTATTTTATTTATTTTGATTAAGAATTATATGTATTATTGTTATTATAATTACTAATACCACTTTTTATAACAGATTGCATATGCTATTAAATGATATTTCATGTGGGTTATGATCTCAAAGAAGGTTTAGATATAGAAGTTGCTATTGCTAATCTAAGTGGTACTTCTATTTCACAAATAATACCTGATCATAAAAAAATAAAGGAGCTAATAAAACATTAGCAAGAATTTCAAATTTATATGAATATTAATGGCCAAAAGATGGTGAGCACGCAGGATTAGTAAAAGTACGACAACTACCAAATATTGGAGAATATACTTATTATTCTCTGACACAGTTTTTTAAACTTATACCAAAAACATCATCTCCTACTATTTCATCATCATTATAGACAATACCCAAACCATATGGATTTGGTATATTATTTCATACAATTGAGTTATTTTTATTTTAATACTACATGATGTATACAATTTTATTTAGAAATAAAAAAATTCTATAATAAATAATAATAAATACGCCATTTTATTGATTTTTTGGTTGATTTTGATAATTAATAAGCTCGCTATTAATACCAATGTCACATTAGATCTACGCTGACTTAAAAAACAAATATTGAGAAATAAACTTGACAATGAAAATATTGCTTATCAAGAAAATACTAGTCGAATTGAACTAGTATCCCAACTTCAAATTCACCTTGCTAATAAAGAGAATCAGATACCACCAATAGCGGGTTAGTAAAAAAGCCAACTTTTTATTCAGCCCAAATGCTACTAATTAACAGTTATCTCATAATTCTTAGACGAAATATGTACTGTGTCTATGGATATACAAATGGGTTTAGAAATTCACAGGTTATTGTGACTCTGAACATAATATATTACATTTTCGTAAATTCAAATCACTAACATTATATCAACTTACAACTATCATTTAAGAAATGCATATTTACAGCTAGGATGGGCGCTTAAAGGAAACCAAAAATTTGGCGTAAAGGTACTGGTACATGAATTTCAAAAGAAATAGTGTTTTTGTTTCAGGGATATTTTTTAGCGAGAAATGCAAATAAAAGTTACCGTTACTCTGAGCAAGATATGTATAATGAGTTGGTCAAATTAGCTGATAAAGGAGAATTAGATAGATGTAAAATTCCAAAAGTACAAACAATTAAAGAATGGATAAGTAGATATTCTAGGCAGGTGAAAAAAGAGGCGGCTGAAAGGGCTTCAGAAAACCATGGAGAAGTTTCTGAAAGTAAAAAAGGCTGAAATGTAATATTGTACACCTTTATTGGCTTTAAAAAATTTAATAAATGGGTTTTAAAATTGTATAGTATTTCTTATACTATTCTTTCGAAATGCTATTGTCCTCCATATATAACTTTATCAGAATAGCGCGAAAACTATTCAATTTTTTTTTTATTATCTACGGAATATGATTATAATTCTCTGCCAAATTTGGTATATTACTCATGCCACCAAATTTGTGTAATGTATCATAAAACTCCCGATTAAAAATATATAATACAGTGATCGCCCAAAATTTTACTAAATCGGGTCTATCCATGTAATATGAATTTCGAATTAAATGTTATCCCTTATGTATAAAATACGTTATCTAAAACCAAAATACTATAACAACCCAGATACGCGTTCATCTTAGGAAGCTTAAATAAGATAAAAACAAAAAAAAAACAAAAAATTTAAAAAAAAAAGAACAAAATAAAAAAAAATTTTATAAAAATTATCATATTTCATTATTACATAATCATTAAAATGACTAAATCACAATAAATTATTATATTTACCAAAATATTTTTCAACAAAATTATAATAATCATTAACATTCATTGGACCCTCTTGGATTTCATAAGCCAAAAGACTATTAAGACATAATGCCCCTTCTATAGTAAATCTTTTTCAACGAACAATAAATGTGGATTTACACGCACGTTTTCCCCTAAAATCCCATCCATAACAAACTGAATTGCATGTAAAAAATTTTACCTGTTTGTGTGTATAACCAAGACGGTTTATTGCTCTCCAAATGGTGGCATAACTAATGTGACGGTCTAACCATAATTCAATTTCGGATTGTAATTCCCATATATACCAATCTACCTTTTCTTTTAGAAGACTTTCTAAATATTTCATATCATCAGCTTTAAATATTCTTGATCGCCCCACTTGCAACGATAAATTTTCCACAAATCCATATTTTTTGAAGTATAAAAAAACTTTAGAAACGGAAGGTTTGCAAATGTTGAGTTGTCTTGCTATTTTTCTACAGGACACGCCTTCCAAGGTCTTTTCAACTATCAACCAACGGAAGTGTTCATTTAATTTTAATTTGGGCATAATGTGAAAAATACTGAAAAAAAAAAAGTACATCATGATAAGTGTCACGTGTTTGTTATTGTTTTCCGACAACCCGACAACCCGAGAATCCGACAAGTTCTCGGCTAATTTTTTGTCAGGTGTCCACTATATTTTGAATTTTGCTGTAACGTTAAGAACAAAAAACGAATATAAAAATCTCGCAAAATCGCAAAATGATGTTCTTTAATCATGAAAAACCTCTATACTATTAATAAATATTATAAAAACAGTAAACCCAATATTTAGGAATTTATCTAACTTTTTTTGTATTTTTCCGAACATTACCAGAAAACTTCTATATTAATTAATTTATACACATTTACCGTCATTTGTGATTTGTTTTTAGAAATTTATTAAAAATATTTGATGCGTGCGGTGCAGCATTATTTGAGATTTATCGTTAAGACGTTTAATACCTCGCATGAGTGTGACTTTTTCTTTTTTTTTTTTTATTTAACTAATTTCAAAGAATTCAATTTCGGACAAACAATGAAATAAACAATAATAATTAAGAACCAATCAAACAAGCGGAAATCTTTTTTTTTTTGAAGTTTGTTTCTTGCATAGGATTACAAACCATCATGCATAGCCACATACATACATATAAGGTACATGTCATTATTGATAGAAGTTTATTGTTTGGATTCCTTGTTACTAGAGATTCTGTAAGATAATATCACATCTGATGAAATCTAAAAACGAATTTTATAACAAAACAAACAGTGAAGAGGTGAGAAAAATTTGAATTTACATTCAAGATTAAAATGGCCTAAATCCCGGCATGCGTAATCCTTCAAACCATTTTTGGTCTAGCCTTAACTCCACATTAAGATTTTTTTCAGCGTGCAGTGCAACATGACTTCTCGGGTGAATTTAAAAAGATTATATCCTATACATTGCACAAGTAAAAAAACATTTATCGAATTTACCAATAACTGAACAAAAACGAAAATTAAAGTTTCATTACCAACACTTAATTAGTCTTTTCGGCTGCGGTTAAATTATGTAAGATGATATAATAAAGCTTTCTGGCGAAATGGTCGGAATCATGTCGATCGATTCAAAATTTATTAGATAAAATCATTCTTTATTCAATCCAAATTTGCTGGGACAAGCACATGCATATTAATATCATGTAACAATTTAGTTGAATTTTTTTTTGGAAATTTTCTATGGAGCGGGAAGGGTAAAGCTAATAAAGAAATAACCCGAAACACCACGCATAAACCTTGTTCACAACAAATACAATTCGTGTGTTGATCTTTCATCTATTTGTTCTAAAAGTTACACGATCAATCAAAATCCAACGTGTCGGTTACCAAATCCGGATGTTTTATATTAAAAATTTACAAATTAGTCACCATAGGTCACCATAGGTTTAACACCTGTATCTGTGAAATTCGACGTGATACAAGTATATTTTCGTTACGAGAACTCGGAATTTTCGAAGTTCTTTTGATGAATTTTAATTGGTGTTTGTAAACTTGTGAAAATTAAATAAAATACAACAGATATTAGATTATGCCTTTGCGAAACGGTTGGAAAATCGCAAGGTGGTGTGGGCAATTCAATAATGAAAAGATTTCGAGTTCTAAGGAGATGGATAATAAATAAATGGCGACATCTTTTTGTGATTACAAATTTAAAAGTATGAAGACGTCTCGTAAAGTAAAAACATTTTGTCACGTGATTTACAGATTTACAAGTTGCCAAATCGGCTTGGTCGGCAGTTTTCGAATTTTCCTTCCATATACATCCTTTAACATCATTAGTTATCATTTAGATTTTGGTGAGATGTGCATTGGCGAGCTCCATTCTCGCAAACTTCCTGTTGGTCGTTACCGTCCGAGACTTTGAAGTAATCATCTATAAATTCTGCGCGCGCGGAAAATATGGATATAAAACAATGATGGATTTTTCACGTGAGCGGTCACTCCCAAAAAAAAATATTATGCGCCCTTTTGTGAATTTTTTTTATTTTTATAATTTGGATCAACAGTTACACGCATATATTGAATTATATTAATTGCATAAAAAAAAGAAAAAATTTAAAAAGCAGCTTAATTTGTATAATGCTTTTTAATCATCATAGTCATTTCTTTTCCGTTCTCCTTTCCTTTATTAAAATTTACCTTCCTTTTCCTCCTCTCCTCTCCTCTCCTCTCCTCTCCTCCTTCCCTTTAATTTCGATTCCCTAATTCCCTCTTCCTCTTCCTTCTTTCTCCTACCCTCCTTTTTACTTTCGTTGATATAAGAATATTTCACATGAGAACTAAAATATGAGATTGAGATCTTTAAGTCTCATAACCGCTCTAATTATTCTGTTAGTGTTAGGCGAAAATGGTTGGTTAATGGTTATCAATTAGGTCTGAAATAAATTCTGCATCTTATTTACGTCACGTTTATTAAACTTCAAATTTAATTAACAGGTTTTACAAATGCTCTTCATAATAATAAAATAATTAATCGCTCTCGGACGAGAACAGGTCTAAAAAAACGTTACAAGTCAGCCCACATGAGAAATTTACGACGCAATCAAGAAGATGAAAGAATTATCGGTAAGTGATGAAAAAGTTTTTTTCGCATTAAATTAATTTTTTTTCATTTCATTCATTAATTTCATTTTTTTTTTTTTTCATTTTATTTTCCCTGGAACTTTTTAGTACCCTTAAATGAACAAAATGGTAATTAATGAAGAAAATTTTTATGTAACTTATTGATTTTTTATCCTCCGTAATCCGATTTGAAGGAAAAATAAAAACAAAAATGAATTAATAAATTTATTTATTTGTGATTTACCATCCGATTTAAAAGGAACCGAAACTTCCATAACAAAAGATTCATCGACTGGCTCGGCAACTGTTAAATCAAATCAAGAACCACTCTTTCCAACCGAAACATTACCATCATTGACGATAACAATCACTCCCCCAACTGTTACAAATAATCCTACTACTAAAATATTAACCAAAATTTCAACATTCATAAGTGGAACGTTAACTACATTAACATCAACAATCGAAGTACCGATTACAACCGATACATCATCCGTTCCTACGCCAACTTTACCGATAGATATACCACCACCTAAAGAACCAGGTGTCGATAAAATTCCACCAGATGATGGAAGCGTTCCAGAAAATACAAAAGGTGAAAAAACTCCTCCGAATCAAGATGAAGTGGATGATATATCAAATACTCCGGGAAAATATGACGATGACGATACAGAGAAAAATTCTGACAAGAAACCTGGAGCTTCAAAAGAACCCAAAGGATCAGAAGAACCTAAAAATCAGGAAAAAGTACCGAAGGGTGATAAAAAACCTGGAAAGGCTAAAGCACAAAAAGGCGGTAAAAAAACTAAAGTGTCAAAAAAGACTAAAGGGCCTGAAGTGCAAAAAGACCCTAAAGAACCTGAAGTACCAGAAGGACCTAAGATTTCAAAAGTTCCCGGGGAAGGTGGGGTTCCAGAGGGTGGTAAGGAACCGAAAGTTCCCGGAGAAGGTGGGGTTCCAGAGGGTGGTAAGGAACCGAAAGTTCCCGGAGAAGGTGGGGTTCCAGGGGGTGGTAATGAACCGAAAGTTCCCGGAGAAGGTGGGGGTCCAGGGGGTGGTAAGGAACCCAAAGCTCCTGAAGAAGGTGGTGTGCCAGGGGGTGCTGGTAAGGAACCGAAAATTCCAACGGAAGGTGGCGTACCCGTCGGTGACAAAGAAAAAGGTGTACCACCAAAAGAGCCAGAAGCACCAGGGGGGCAAGGATCAAATACGCCCGAGTCAGATGTACCAAAGTTGCCGGGAGGAAATAATGTGTCGGAAGTAACAGATGATTATATGGGAAATAGCAAGACTTTGGGACTTGCAATTGGGGGTGTTTTAGCGGGCATAATAGCGATTGGAATGATGTTAATAGTATTATTGAAAAAGAACAAAATATGTACAGAGGAAAAGGAATTAACAGCAAGTGATTCAATGGAATCAGGTCAACCTTCTCCAGCAGCTCCACCAGAAGTTTACCTTCGACAAAATCGAACGAGCGCAAATTCTTCCATTATATCAACCATATCATCATCATCATTGAGATTGATTTCTGCAATAAAAAACTCAGTTTCTAACATCCTTCCAATACCAAATGATGCTGCTAATCTTACCGGTCGAAGCAAATTTATTGAACAACTGTGAGAATTGATTGTAATTATTCATTCATTAATATTTTTCAATTCATGTATATTAATACAACACCCGCCAACGGCTTTATATATATGTATACAATTTATTTAGATAGATTTTAGTTATTTAGAAAGGTAGAGGATATGCTCTTATAAAACCTACATGAAGAAAATTATTTATTAATTTAATATAATATATCATAATAATAAATAGTGATTTGTTAATAATTTTCGTTACCATTAATAATTATGTAGCATTTGCACAAACAAATTATTTTTTCTCTTTACTTTTCGAAAAGAAAGGTTTTATCGATCAATATAACTAAAATTGTAAAATTGTAAAATATTTAATTTTATTACATTCTTTTTATCTTTGCCTTACAAAATGTCAATAAAACAATTATCCTTAAAATGAAATTGTTATTTTGGAAATGTATATCCATAATCCATATTTATAAAATTCTAGAGCCTAGGGTTAAACCTTTTATCTAATTTCAATAATTTTATCAATTGCCAAGGAAGACAACATTATCAGTTTTGTTTTTGTTTTTACCGGATTGATTGAAGTGAAAAATATTATTTCATCAAGAATACGAAAACCAAATTTCTTTGAAATTTTTTACGTAGTTTATGGCGCATTAGTTCGTTCTAATGGGTTAATTAACATTGAATTATTTAAAAAAAAAATAATATCATATATTATAAACAAGGACTGGAATAAGTAAGATTCAGTCTTTTTTTTAAAAAAAAAAGGATGGCTGAAAATAATAATGTTTTGTTTATTATCACTGAGATAATTTAATACTTAATAAGTAAATAATAAACAATTTTGGATTATAATGTAATGTGGAGAAAACGAACAAATTAATGTCGGATATAAATCGGGTAGTTAAATAATGAAAACTTTCTTGCTAAACGAGTTTAATTCAACTTTATTTAGCATCTAGTAACAATTAATTTCAACAAAATTCTCTAGAAGGGATAATTATCAAATTTTATTAATTATCTGGTTAATTTCGCTTTCCAAACTCATTTTGACGATCGCACGTAATTTGGTATTTGGTATGGCAAAAAAAAAAGGATCAGCTGGGCTAAATATTTGGCGTAATTACGTAACGATAAAAAATTTTTTTCCCCATATGCCCATATATAAATATGATTTGATTTTTTTTTTTTAAAAAAAAGGAAAAGAAAAAATGACAATATATTCTTTGCCCGAAGATTGTTTTTATGAGATCTTTAAACACATTAAAGATGACACGACAGTGCTTTACAATTGCCTATTCGCAAATCGATTTTTATGTAGAATCATCATTCCTTTTCTTTATCAAAATCCATTCTCGGTAGTAAACGGTGGTCTTAGACAATATTATTGTTTAACAAGAACGTACCTTTCTTGCCTTGACGAGGAAGAAAGGAATCATTTAAGAAAGCATTTTATAAAGTTTCCACAAGTGTCAAATTCACTTTTTGATTACGCAAAGTATTTGGAAGAAATTCCAAACCTAACGATCGCAGCGGAATGTTGGCTAATCTTTTTGAATCATTCGAGTGAAAAGAAAATATACATCAATTATAATGAGTATAATAAGCAATTGGATAAAGGAAAGAAATTGATCTTACAGGAAGTACTTTTTCATTTATTCTTGAGAAAGATTAAGAATTGCAAGGTGTTAAATATTCAGGCAAACTTATTTGACAAAAGCATCTTTAATATACGATTTTTCAAAAAGATTATCTCACATAACTCAAGTATAACATCATTACGTTTAATCATCTCTGAAGAAGAAATAAACGAATCAAACGAGGAATTATTTTTTAAATTCATTTCACTACTTACAAAAAAATGTTTTGACATTGAAGAATTGGAGGTCACGACATATTATTATTATTATAATTCAATCTTGCAAGGATTAATCGAGATATTAATTCAAAATCAAAAGAATTTCAAAAGCGTTAGCTTATCATACCCAAATGATCGTTCGTTAAACGATCTTATTAAAATAATAGAAATGAAAAAGCACACACTTACCACGATACATTTAGATAATTCTTATAACTTTATTAATCAAAATGTTTTTAAAGCTATTGCGAATTGTGAGAAGATTGAGAAATTAGAATTTATCAATGTTAAAGGGTTAGGGTTGTTAAAGACTAGGGAAATATTTTGCAATTCAACTTTTGAGTTAAAGGAATTAACTAATCTTTATGATAGATTAACACCATTTTTTCACATTCGTCTTATACGTAAATTCGGTCATTCATTAAATAGGTTATCGCTTTATAAAGTGACTCAGTTAGCCGTTAGGCAAATTTCAGAGATCTGTTTAAATCTTAAAGTGTTGCAAATAGTTTGTAAGGACATCAATTTGTCCGCTTATCAATACTTTAAGAATATGAAGATTGAACAGCTCATCATTTATTCCGAAGAACATTTGTTATCCAATTATTACAGCAATATCTTTAAGTGTATAGCTGAAAATTTGCCTGGTTCCCTAACTACCTTTACGATTTACATAAAGGATCCAAACTCTATATTCTTAAGTGAGAATAATTGTATTAGTTATGACAATTTGGAAATGTTTTTAACTCATTATAAAGTTGGTTTAAAAACTTTAAATTGCAACTTCAATTTAAGAATCGAAAACATTGAACAAATCCTTGATCACGTAAAAAAACGAAAGGCTTTGAGATCTTTGGGTATTAGATCACCTCCTGGCTTTTTATGGTTTGACAATGATAGGGTTAGGGTCAAGCAATTGTTAAATGAAATCAGAGAATATGATATTGAGATTCATACCATTAAAAATCATTTCTCTCCTTAGGTGAATAAAATTACTTTTAATTCTTCATTTAACAAAGGATATTAAATTGGTAAATTATGTAGAAAATACGGTAGAATAGAGTCAATAGGTCAGTAGCAAGAAAAGTGGTGGTTTAGGATTTCATAATATTGTTACATTAGATATAATTCCGCCCACAGACACCATAATTTCGTATGAAAATTGTTTTCGATATTTGTAGTTAGTCCTTTGAAGATCATTTTAACACGATGACAAAATGACAGCTGTCCTAATAATTATTTATTTTATAAATACGAGAAGTATATCCTTAACAACTTAACATTCCACGCTCGCCCTTCTTATATTTGCATGTATACACCTTAAAAACCTTCCTTTATCCCTTCGCGATATTTTCGATTTCGCCGTTTTAACATTATAACTTCATATTTGTAATTTCGTTTATTTGTTTTAATTTCTGATTTTTCTTATTATTTTATTACACAATTTTTCGTAATTGCGCAATTTAATTTAATATATTGACATTGTGAATGTGTAGAACGCCGACGTTGAGGCAACACTGATTAAATTTATCATCGACATTACTTCAATTTACTCTGCTTATATTTAAAATTGTTTATCAATAAATAACGAAAGAATCGATTACTAAAATTTTTTTTTATTTTATTGACATTACCTGTCACAATGAAAATTACAATTTATTGAAAAAATAAATATACAATAGATATAATGTCGTAATTTTATAATCGTTTCCTTGCCATTTACACAGTATTCTGTATTTTTTTTTTTTGCTAAAACATATTTAGCTGTAGATTTTAGAATCGATATTCTTTTGATTTTTGATTTATAAGTTTCATATTCCAATATTTTTAATTATTTTTTTACTATTATCTAAAATAATACAATTTAAACTATAGTTAATTGTTTGAATTCATATGAAATAAATTTAATTTATAAGTATATTACCATCATAACCTTCATTCATATTACTTTCATGCTTTCGTTTACCTTTTTTTTGTAGACAGAATTTATTAATGATTAATGATAATGTAATCTGTAATTAGCATATTAAATATAGATTAATTAATAAAGTTCTTAAAACAATGATTTAAAGATCTATAAAACAAATTAATTACCAAAATCTGAAGAAATGGATTCTGCGGATTTCATCATGCTACTTAAAGATCTACTCTTATAAATAGCGCCTGGATTGTTTGTAGTTATAGGTCCAATTTCTGATGATTCTACAATTACAGTTGGAATAATTTCTTCAAATATTTTAATGCCCAAAATTCTATTATTAATAACCCTGACTAATGGCCTTTTACTTGGATCAGGGTTCCAGCATTCTTTCATTATTTCAATATAACCTTCTGGTGCTTCTATATCACCAATTGGAGGACGTAACCCATCACAAATATCAATAATCAGATCAGATCATGAGCACGATCCCAAAAAAGGTCTTCTACCTGTCATAAACTCCCACATAATCTATAAACATCTGAAGCCAAGGTACATTTTTCCCTTTGAAGAATCTCCGGGGCCACATAAGGAATAATTCCATAGATTTCATTATCTTCAGCTTCAGTAGCAGATTTACTTAATCCTAAATCACCTATTTAGTATCATCAGCACCTACCAAAATATTTCCACTATGTAAATCACGGTGGATAATTCTATTACTATGAATTTCATTACAATAGTGCCTAAATTATATAACTTAGCGAGCCAACTAAGATAATAAAAATTTTCAGCTATATAACTAATCAAATCTCCTGATTCACAATAATTCATAATTATCATAAAATCTTGGGTAATAGGATCTTGAGTAATTCCATAATAATCAATAATATTAACCCAACATGATTTTCTTAATTGATAAGATATTTTAAGCTGAAAAGATTTCTAACTTAGTATATTAAGATATTTATAATAAATCAGAATATAATAAATTTTTACCTGGTTTATCGCCTTAGCAGTAAAATTTTTAGAATCGTTAAATTTCTTAAGAGCAACTTGGTTATTAGATTCCCGTTTATATTTTTTTTCTTTGTTATTCCATAGTAGTATTGGACCATCAATACAAATAGCCTTGTAAACTTTACTAAATCCTCCCTCTACAATAAATTCTATATTTTTGAAGCTATCATATGAAACAATCTCCTTTTTATCTCGTTTTACATTATTAATTTGCGTATATTTGATAAAATCGTCAATAACTTTATTTTCAATTCCAATTGTATTAAAGGTTACATTTGCTCTATAACAACTATGGCAAATTTTATGATTTTCTTCAGAAGGTTTTCTCCTTTTTTTACATTCAATACATTTCTCAAATTTATGTTTAGACTTTAATTTAACCACGGGTTGCATTTGCTGACTTGATGCGTCATTTGTCAAGTCAATTTTATTAGTGGTGCTGATTGATTGATGTTGATTCATTATTATAATGAAAGATTCGTTTCAGGCATTCCAAAACCACTTATATATACTTTATGTTCTTAATATGTCGTAAATTCTTTAAGGAATTTCTGAATTCAATAAAGAATTCCATCGAAACTTCCAAAATAAATGCGAGGTTTATTTCAGGTAATGATCTTCAGATTATTGATTAACCGAACAAAAGAAAATTTCTGAAGTTTAATTGTTTGCTTACTAAATTCCATTGTTGTAATATACAAATATCCAACCTATTTATTACGCAACATAATGATAAAATTTTAAATAATAAAGCAAGATAAAAATTTAAAACTATATATGGTAAATCTATAAAAAGTTATCTTACCAAACAAGCCACTTACTTAATTAACAAATTTGTTTTTTATATGGATTTTATGTATTTGTCTTGAAAAAAAAAATAGTTGACCTAATCCATTATAAATAGTAATAAAACGTGTCGTGGTAGGCGAAAAAGAATTTTAAATATAAAGTTATATGTACCAAACGTTAGCAACATTTATTGCGTAAAGAAAATATATCCAAGCAGAAAAGAAAGAAGCTTATTATAAATAAGCTCGAGATCCATAGAAAGACAACGAAAGTATTGGGAGAAGGAGAAGAAATATCTTTTCATGCCATTGTACTTTTAACCATTTTCCCTTGGTTTCTTATTATTAATACTTGATTCTTTTCACTATTTTACATACAAAGTTTCGCGAAATATTAAAAAATCCATGTTTCATGCAATCATAAAGTAAACTCACGTGATTCTCTATAAAAAAAAAAATTCTTTTAGTATCCTTTCTTATTTTTTTAAAAAAAAAATGAGCTTTGACGCGCAAATCATTTCTTTTTTTTTTAATTACTTTTTACATAAAGAATAAAAAATTATTTTGAAATATTTGATAATGTCAATAGTTGAACTTTCTTGTGATAAATTTCTTAAATTAAAATTTGATTCGTTAAAAATTTGTGGCATAGTATTTTTAACCTATCACACATAAAAAATACAGCTGAATTCAGCAAATGACTTATAAATTCGCTTTTAATTCCGGACAAAACATTCTAATTCTGCAGAACCTCAAAAGATTATTATTTTCGATCCGACATAATAAAGAATATTTGGCTAAATTACTTAATCTGCTTTTCAAAATGAAATACACAAAATCAAGCGTTAATTCATTTACTTTTTTCATCCCTTTCGGCCCAATTTTTCATAATTTGCAATAGAGGTTGGAACCGGTTAAAACGGTTAACATGTTAACCGGTTAAAATAGATGAATTAACTCCGGCCGAAATTCAATTTCCGGCCAGAATTAAGATTTTATGATTGCAAAATATTGTCTAACTCTGGCCAAATTTATAGTACTGGCCAAAGTTAATTTTAACCGGTTATTAACCGGTTAAAGAATTTTTGGCCGGTTCCAACCTCTAATTTACAATAGGTGAATATCATTTAGAAAAAGTCATAACTAATGGATGAAGCTTTATACGCACATAAAAAAAAAGATTTGAATAAGTGCAGTAATGTTAACGTTAAAACGTTTTATTCAAAAATTCTCAACCTATATAAGTTATGTTACACAAATTGTATTATAAAATGAAGTTTTTAGGACAGGAACATTTAAATATTTTGATTCGTGAGAACATCGTCATTAAACTCAAATTCTAGTGGAATATTCTCATATTTCACTAAATAAAATATTTAATTACAAAAAAAAAAAATAAACATAAAAAAGCTTTAAAATTATCAAAAGTACCAAAGATACATTTTATAAATTTTTTTTCTTACAATAAAATCCAAGATTATTTCCAAAATTCTGTGACATAATACAAGATTGATACTTTGTGCCAAGGTTATAAAGAAAGGCACCTAATAATAAAATAAATATAATTACAGTAGCGGTCATAAGTATCCGACCCCTCATAATTCTTAAAGTTAATTAATAATATTTATTAAATTTTTTTTAAAATTTAAGTTCAATACTAAGCTTGATAATCTGTAAAATTATAGATTCGTATCATGTATAA